TATGAAGCACCTCATTCAGTTCTGAGGGCTCAAATGATTCGGTTTTTTTAGTGGCCTCTGGGGTGAATGTGTCCCTGCTCAGTCAGCTGTGAAAAAGGCACAGTGATAGGCAGACCTGCTCTTGTCACTGAAGAGCGGAGCACACAAGGCATCTAAGAATGCACAATGAGGTTATGCTTGAGGCTAGACACAATCAAGTACAATTCAGACTTAAAAGCAGCAATGAGTTTTCTCACAAACATACAACCATATTTACCTTGTTACTTTACTGAGGAGACAGACTTCTGAAGCCTTTTCTCATAAATAATCAGCCCCTTTCCTGGAAACAGCAGTGCCTGAGGAGGCCAACATAAGACAAGTAAATGGCAAGACTTGATCTGTTATTTAGAGTATAGACAGTAGTGGTGGACTTAGGTAGTGTGCAATCAGAGACAGTTCTTTTCATTCATTGACTAAGATTCTTGTTTTGTGAAACATTGTTAAATGTTCTTAATTGTAAATTTGGGATATTATGAAGTGTGATCCAGTGGATGAGTTACTGGACTGGGATTGGAATCTGTGGTTTGTATTGCTCATTTTGCAGCTGACTTCATTTATTTCCTCACACCCCCTTATTTTTTGTATGATAGAACCTGCTTAAAATACTTCAAGATTCCAGGTAAACAGAACTATGTAACAGGTTGGGTTAATTACTATGATGCAATGTGTTTCATTGTTGCAAATAATGGCTATGCAAAAGTTATACAGAGAAAATTGTTTTTGTTTTTGTTTTTTTAAATAATAGTCAGCTGTTTCTAATATGAATTCACTTCAGTTTGTGAAAATTATTTCATTACATTTATACCATGTATTATTTTTTATTTTTCAACAGTCAAAGAAAGTGTCTTCCTTTCCAAGTTTTGTTGATGGTAAGTTTTGCATCATCCATAATTGAAGTATAAAAAAAACCAATACATTTTAAGTATCAAAATTCTTAAAAAAAAAAGTCAAACCCAAGAGAAGCAGGTCCAAAGTGCAAAGAATAAACTGAAACCTATTTCTGTTCAGAATACACTATGTATGGAAATATTTAATATTCTTAAACATATCTATGACAAGGAGAGATAACGATGGTAAGAGGGGGAAATGGAGCAATGGGCAAGACTAAATGTAAGGATGGAGACAGCTACGAACCTGGAGAGAAAATGGCTGAAAATAGTGGGTCCTATCAGGGTAGAAATTTATGGAGGTAGAAGAGCACCCTGCTCTCTATTGCTTTGCACAGAGAAAGGAATCATGCAACTGAACTGTTCAGAGTCCTTATGTCATTTTGAAGTGATGCCTATATTGAACTTTGAGAATCTCAGTTGTAGGCACAAATGGGAGAGGATTTCTGAATCTGAGAAAAAATTAGCAGTACAAAATGGAGAAAAGAAGAACCATACACACCTCTGTTTGGTAGAACCACATTTTCATGTATTTCTTCAATTGTCTGTCAACCAAAGAGTGATAATGATATTCAGTACAATCCCATTTTATATCTGTTCACCTTCTTGTTTTAATAAATTGACTTTTCTCCAAATGAAAAAGAAGTAATAGCAGTGCAGAAGAAATTGAAGAGCTTTCTATGGGGAAAATATACCCAGCCCCACAGCTCTTTCTACAGAGGAAGTGTCTACATCATAAAGCAAGTGAAGGCAGTAGGAGGTTGCTAAGGATTTGACTCCTCTGCTCTGACACACGTTTCCCTACAACGTGAACCATAAATGAAGGTTAAATCTTTATTTCTGATGCCATTCCCAAATAAAGGAAAAGTTACTGTGGCTTAGAACAATATTAAAATGTTCAATGTGTTTTTCACCTATTCCCTGATCCTGTCAGCTTGACTAGCAGCTTCTAATCATTTCCTTGAAGAGCTAGAGCAAATGGAAAGTTCAAAGACAGCCCTATTTACACAATTGACATCTGACAGAAACTACACATCACGCTTGGCATACACTGGCTAACAGGTCCTAAATAGAAGTAAATTAAATGCATTTCCCAAAGGCAGGAGAGACAAGACAGCAAGCTGATCCTTTGTAATAAGTGTCTACTGAGTGTATGGTGGACAATTATAATGGGAGGGCAGCACTGGTGGAGCTTTAAAAAGTAAAAAAATTATCCCTAACAACACTGGCAGAAAAAACTATGCTTTTTATTTTACTGGGGTAAAAAGGTTACATTTTTCTCTTTTTAAACCAGTCAGCTCTCTATTGGAAGGGGGTTGGTATACTCTTTTAGTGACATAGGAGTCTTTTTTAGTTCAGTCTTTCTGCTGTCTCTGATTTTTTTTCTCAAGTAGCACAATGTGAGGGCATAAGCCATCCATCAGGCTTTTCCTATTGCAGGTATTACAGAGCACTGTCTAATAGAAATAAATGTAGCTTACTAGGAACTTGTGAGCAGTGGGATTGGACTTGGTGATCCCCAGAGGTCTCTTCCAACCCCTGCAATTCTGTGATAGCTAATCTCTGCTTTCTGAACCCCAAACCCACTCACAGTTCTCATAATTAATTTGTATATTGTGTCCCAAAAAGAATGGGACATCTCTGCACATTGAAAAAGAATCTGCCAGCTAACATCCTTGTTCTTGATGGCACCATAACCATGTTCCAGTCATCATTCAGCTGTTGAGGCATTTAACATTCAGAATGACTCCTCAGCTACAATAGCTGTATCTGTATCTCTGTACATTCATTATGGTTTTGCATATGAAATATGGACATAAAAACAAATTAGATAGCTGGTGCAAAAAATATAGGAGATGTGTGTCTTTGCTACTGTAGTTGTTTTGGTAGTTGTACCAGTATGTGCTTGTAGTGGTAATTTGTGCAGCATTCAGGAATTTTGCTTTTTTTCCACCCTATGTTTATCCTGTCACCTTAAATCTCATTTCCCTTGCAGTGTCTCAACCAAGATGAAATAGCGAAATAAGCTAAAAGATGGAATTTGTAGATAGACATTCTGCAAGGTGACATGTGCTCTGTGGCCATTTATGCCTTACCGAAAGTCTTTCTGCTGCACTGCCACACATCCTAAGGTCTCAGCAACTTCACGGAGCACAGTGGTTCTCAGCAGGCAGCTGACGATGCTTCAGTGCTTTGGGTGTAGTCCCTAATACTCTCTGAATCTTTGGTTTACACATGATTTTAGATAAATATAAAACATATGATCTGAAGACCAAATTAAATTCAGTTACGTTGCATTATTGAATTTTTTTCTTAAAAATAATTAATAAGTTAATTTAAATATTTTTAGAGTCTCCTGTTTTGGTTTAGAAATAATTAATATACTCACTGTATTATTAGTTCAGCAGAAAATCAAGTAATCTCTATTGCCTTCATATGGTACAGAAATTTAAATTTTACAGAAGAAGTTCTGTAACTTTTTAAAATATCTACAGCCAACATAAAATTCCAGTCTTCAACATCCAGATGTCTTTCTCCTTCCCTTCCTTATCAGTAAGCCTTACGCATACGTACAGCCAAGGGCACGCTTTTATGAGCTGGGATCTCAGCCAGGTCTGTATTTTTATATTCTTTAACCATCACAGATAAGGAAAGAAAATACTCAGGTAACCCAGTTTGACCCTGGCAATTTTCAATACTATTCCTTACATCCTTCCAACAGATGCCTTAACCTATCTGACAGTACCTTCCACTTCTCTCACGATGGGAAGTGTATGTTGGAAATGTTTTCTGCCCAGCATGCTTGTGATTTTGGTGGGTTTTGTTGTTGATTTTTCTTTTTTTTTTTTTTTTTGGTACTATCTGTTGTTATAAGCATTCTGTACGAGCTGTTATACTTAATGCAGCAGAATTTGTAACTACTATAATAATTCTGCAAAAAGCACTAATTCTAACTCTGTGAGGAGATGATGAGACTATATCCAACAGAAAAATTTTTGAAGAATCAAAATAAATAAAATTAGAACAACAGAACTGCTTAAAAGCCCAGGGTTTTTACATTTTCAAGAATTTTGTGGACAATCTTCTTAAAACTACTATTGCTGGCACCAAACTACCAAAATATGAGAAGAATTTGTTCTTTCCTTTGTAACGCTCATTAATTTCACAGCCCCATAAGCTACATGCACTGAGTTTCATGCACTGAGCTGCCAATAGCATATGCATACAAACAGGTCTCTAAATTTGTCTTTGAAAGGCCTCTGACACAGCCAGCAGTCAATGACAAAAATGTCATATTCAAAGATCTAAAAGGCACAAATTTAACAAAAAAAGAGCTAATTTCACATTCTTGAAAACAATCAGAACAGAACACAGGCCTTCCTAAATTCAGCCAGATGGGGATGGGATGGGGAGGAAGTAATTTAGGGACCGAGATGTTTTTAAATAACCACTATCTTTTTTTCTTATTTTTGTTGACAAGTTCTGCAAGGAGATAGAATTTTGGTCCTTGCTTGATGCAGTAGTTCTATATTAGAATTACTATCAAGCATTTCAGTTTTATTTGTCTTTATGCATACAAAATATTTCAATAAAATGCATCTAAATTAACTGCCAGCAGAGGTTAGTTAAACTGATTTAAACATTATGTGGGTAAGTGTATTTCAGAGTTAACGCAGCCCTGATTTAATTTAGCCTGATTTACTTAGCCTGAAGTGAGTGAAGGTAAACCAAATTAAAGCCACTTTAATTTTGAATGATGGTATTGATGCAGGTATCTAATGAAATTTTGCTAACCAGCATTAAAATCACATCTTTAATTTTTTTTTCTCTTTGCTATCTGTGAAGCAAGATATCAGTGTGATGCAGTATGGATATATTTTCTGCTTGCTGAAAGAGGTACAGATTTACAAAACTAAGTTTTAGGCCTGAAAGGATGTCTGAATGACATCATCATAAGAGCTACCATGAAAAATGCATCACTTGCCTGCTGAAAAATTTAATGGTGCACAGTCGTAAACAAACAGAATCAGAGATACAGTCAATGGAGTTTTGTTGGAATTATCTTTTTTTTAAAAATTATGTCATTCAATGAATTATCACTACAGGAACAAGGATCGCTTTTTGAGATACTGAAAGACTTGCTCTTACTGCTAACATGACATTTTAAATTATTAGGTTCAGAAGGATTTTGTTGAGGTTTTTCACATTTTTAATGTAAATCATCTGATTTTAATGAAGACCCAAATCATTACTGGATTTATATGGATTTGACCTAATGCAGAATATGTCTAACTGTGATATATATCTGTATTTTTGAGGCTTGAAACTGAAGTGTTTTCTAGGAAAACAAATAGCTCTATTTTGAGTATTTTTGGTATAAATAAAAAGGCTCTTATTTATATGTGTACGTATATATATATTTAATACTGAATTACGAGGACTGGTATGTTTTGCAATGGTTGATATTTCCAGCAAAAGAATGTGAAGCTTGCATGGAAGTATAGGAGGCTGCAATACTGGCTGCGGAAGAAAGTGACTTCTTGCAATCAAGATTATTTACTATTGGAACACTTTTTCTAAATTACAACAGGAAAATGAGGGGTAGGATTACTCACCAGAAGATATATCTGCAAACCACAGTTGAGTGGTATAACATGCTTTCTGTTTTTTCTCCTCAGTATATTCATTTTCCACAACCATTTGCTTATAAAGGAATCACAAGTCCACAGTACAAGAATTTTTTTTTTAATTGCCATTTCCATTCAGTGTTGCTTTTTCCTCACACATGAGATTGATGTACATCAAGAAAACGTGGTAGCTGCTTGTCAAGTTGGCAGAGCTGAAAGAAAATTTCTTTAAAAAAAACTCTTGGGCAACAGAAAATATTTGCATTCTAGGGATTTCAGATTCTGGAATGGCTGTGCTTATGTGTTGATCTAATAAAGCTAGATGTAAAGCTTAACAGCTGAATAAAGAGGGTGATGAGCATAGTCCCAGTAAGAAGTAAATGCTGTCCTTTATTCTTGTCCCTGTCCCCTCTTCTTCATCTTTGGAAAGAAACAACTTGGGTAAGGTTCTAAGATTTACTCATCACAAATCACTCCATAATGAATATTAAGCATATGCAAAGGTATTTTGCTGAATGAGGTTTAATATTTAAGGAATACTAAGTTCCACTATTTCCTTCTCTTTTTTACACTAATTCTTTCCTAATCTTTCCATGTGTTTCATTTCCGTAACTGCCTTACGTGACTTCCCTGCTTTCAGGGGAAAAGGCTGTCTGACTTTGCTGGTGCTATTGCTCAGACTGTGAGGTTTTCATTCTGCTTTGTTCTGAAGTGTTTCTCCAGCGTTCCATTTTATACAATTGGTACCAGACTAATGACTGTATTTTTCTATCAGTTCCTGAATTTAGGCCTTACACATTACATATGGCATCAAGATGCCTACTTATGTTGTCATTTCCCTGAATTTTAACTGTTAGGTTTCACGCTGAAACAGAGCACATCCTTCTCCCAAACATTAATAGCCTTAATTCAGTTTCTCATCTCTCTATCCTCTTCTGAGACACAGTAACTGTAAACCTGCCATGTCAGTTCCAGGACCTTGCGAACCTGAAGACCTCATTGATGGAATCATCTTTGCAGCCAATTACCTGGGCTCTACACAGCTGCTCTCTGAGCGCAACCCTTCCAAAAACATAAGGATGATGCAGGCTCAAGAGGCAGTGAGCCGTGTTAAGGTAGGGGATTTTTACGGTTTGCAGAATACTCTCTGGTACTTTGACAGCTGATCTCTAAACATGATGAGATCCGCAGCTTCAAACCTACTCTGAAGTGCATTTCGGTGAGTACAGACCTAGTACAATACATACCATAATTTTCCAGTGCTTGTCATGAAGAAACATACAGCTTCTCCTAGGAACAAAATATAAATTACTCCACGGTCTATTCCAAATTGTTTGAAAGCTGTATGAAGGATTTATATATTAAAGACAAATGGCAGACTGTAATTAAGAAATATTCCAGTGACCAATGGATGTTTTCTAACTGTGTTATTAATTCCTTTATTAAAGATTGTGAAAATGACTCTTAGTACACTGAATTATTTCGAATTTTCAAACCTTTGAATTTCTATTTACCCTTTTGTGAAGTCTGCAGCAATAACAATCCCAACCTGCCAGGTACACTTGACTACTTTGGATAGTCACTGAAGGAACTTAAGTTATGTTTTGTATGACAATTACATTTTGGACATATGACTAATATTACTATAATATTAATAGAAAAATTTGAATTTAAAATAGTGCATGTACTGTCAGTTTAGAATGCTGTATATTTAGCAGGATAAATGTTATGAGCAGCTGTTAACAGACAACACTCTGATATTTTTTTTTGTAATCAATCAACAACATGCATAATGCCATTAAATCCAATTATGCTCCAGAACAGCATAAGATATAGACAGTCCTTTCCCTCTCGCACATCCTTCTCCCACTGGCCCCAGATTTTTAATTTTCAGCAGTCTGGATTCATAGTCAAAAGGTTTCCCTGACTTCACACACTGTCTTTTCTCTTTTTTTGTGTGTACATCTGTCTGCATTCTTTTTTTATGCTACTCTTCAGAGGATGCAAAAGGCGGCTAAAATCAAGAAAAAAGCGGTGTGTAAACTGTTTTTCTTGAATTCTAATGTTTACTTACATTTCTGTTGTATTTGTTCCTCACAGAGCATTGTGTCTTTCATTACGGGTGCTCATAAAGTTGTCATTTTGATTTATTCTTTGTTAAGTAATAGAATACTGGATGGAATAAAATTAACTCATTTTCTTCATCGTTCACTTGCTAGAGTGCCTGTCTGCTGCTGCTCTTCTGTTTAATATTTCTGATTTGTTTAGTCCAGATATACGGTCATTGTTTTCCAGGAGACTTTTTAAATGTAATCCTTATTTGTATTTTGCCAGCCAAAGCAATTAGGTCTGTTTTCTATGCCTATGACTTACGTATATTTGCTAAAATATTGTCAATACTTAAAAAACAAATGAAGTACATTAACCAAGTAGTAGCTGGAGCAATTCAAGAGACATTTCACCTAGTCAAAAATATACATTAGTTAACTAACTATATTTAACAAAAATATCACTGAAATTAATCTCCTTGTAACAATCATGGATAAAAAGCACCACAAGTAATCTCTGCCAAAGTGGATTTGTGCTGCTTTGTATTTTGCTGAAGTTAATTTAATTTGAATTAATATGAATGAATTATAGGCAGAGCTAAGCCTTTTTAGCTATAGAAAAGGATAGCAAATACATCACTCTTCCTTGCACCATGTCATCAAAGAAACACAGTTGTAATCTGGAGACTGATGCCTACATTTAGTGAAAGGTAATATGGTCTGTGGCCTTTTTATTCTGAGGCTGCTAAGATGGGTGCTGGTAAATATTGATTGCAAGGGTGCACTGTGGATAAACAAACAGCCTGGGGGAATAAATGGGTTCCTGCTGGGACTCAGAGTGTTAGGTAAGCTCTTGCATGATGCAGTGATGAGAGGCAGAAGCTTCTTTGCCACCTTCTCTTCTGTTGTCTCCCTGGCACAAAGCCAGGCCTCACACTTAAGAAAAAACACTTGTCATTATTCTGCAGCCCCACTTGCTCTGTGACCCTGTTTTCTTATGGTATATCATTTCCCTAAAAAAACACGCTTAGAATTTGAGGTCTCCAGTACACCTACCTAAAGGCTCTCTGTGCAGTAAGAGATGTTAGGTCAGCTCTCAGTTCTGTGTTTTCTACGAGAAAAAATCTAAAAAGAACACATCCAAACCACAGTATTGAGCATCATCTTGAACTTTTGTTTGTGAGCTAACTGAAGACAGCAAGGGTTAAGCAGCTGATGGAAGTCACTTTCTCAGTTCCAGTGCCTCAAGAACTGACGTGCATCAATAAGACAGTGGGGAAGAAACAGCCACATTGATTCTCCTGTTCTGGCTATTCATAGAGAATTATAGTACCTGAGCAGTCAATTCCAGGGGCTCTGAATATTCATTCTTAACCACAAGAGTATGCTTCACTCTTCCTATGCAGTCAATGCGTCCTTTGCATGTATGTAGAAACACCTTTGAATAGCTGTCTTTGTAGTGGTTTAACAATGCAATTGGCTCACATCACATTATGCTTGAAGTGATCTGTGAATTTGTCATTCTGAAGAGGAAATTAAAGTTCCCACTGTAACAAATTATCTGTCTTGTAGACTTCAGAAGGAGATTCCCAGGCCTTGACTGAGGTGGACCTGTTCATCTCCACACAGAGAATCAAAGTTCTAAATGCAGACACACAGGTAAGTTATGATTAAACATCTCCATGAATAACACTGATTATTTCAGAGCCAGTTTTTGTTAGTCTGCACTCATGTTATTACTAATGTGAAACTAATAAGTTTGGATAAATTTGCTGTTGAGAGAAATAGCACTGTTGTATCTTAGAAATATTATTGTTGTAACACTTGCCAATGACTGATTTTGCTTATTTGATGTGTGAGAAAATGTTTGAGATTGAGATCTATAATTCAATATAGGAAAAGATTTAAAATTAATTCAGAATGTGTGTCCCTGTGTCTCTGAAAGTTCCAGTACCTGCACTTAGGACCTAACAAGAAAGTCATTCACTCCTTTGACCAAGACATTCATATCTTGCCATTTAAAAAATTTAACCTACAACATTTTCATAAATCACATCTGTGCTACCATCTTCTTTGCCTACGGTAGATTACTGGTTATTAATTATTCATATTAAAACAACATCGAAAGGCTGCAGCAATGATCAGCTTTATCTTCTAGGAATCATGTACGTATTCAAAAAGAGGCAATCTTTGTGAGAATTCTTTTCTTAAGGAATTGACCATTATTAACATATACTTTATACATGTTTCAGTATTAAGTATCATCGTCTCACATCATCTCTTAGTCTACAGCCATGCTTACAGAAATATATTCAAATTTTCATTCTTATGAGAGGCTTAGAGAAGGAACATTTTACTAATGTTTTTGCTCTGTTTTTTATTAAAAGTCTCCAATGTATACAGCTAATAACAGCTGAAAATGATAGATAAGACCTCCAGTTACAATAAAGAAACATTTAGAAAATATTTAATTATGTTAGATATATCGAAATTAGAGGGGCACAGGAAAATTCATCTTGTAATGTTCGGAAAAATCATTGAAACAATGTCATTAAATTGCTCCAATTATATTTTTGCAGAAATTATGAACATAGTTTTCAGTCTTTTTTTTTTTTTTAAAGTAGCACCAAGAATTACAGAAAAGTTTAACTGTCAGAAAGATGCCAAAACAAACCAACCATTTGGAGAAAAGCAAGCATCAGACAGGTTTGTCAGAAGTAAATCATGTCAAATCAATAATTTTCTTCTGTGACAAGGGAATATGTTTGTGCACAGTAGAGAAGCAGCAACATCACCTACTAACTTGAATAAGGCTTTTAATTGCTGTCTCATATAACTTTTTCTAGATTATGTCATTTGGATAAAGGAGATACAAGCAGGCCAAACATTTTTCAGTGTACTTATTACTGATATGTTGCCACGTAGACAACAATATAAAGAGCAGAGGTGGACTCAAAAGCATGTTTTGATGTTCATGAAAATATGGAAGACTATTACAACTTGGAAGAGGGAACAGAAAATGGTTATTGAACTTTCAGCTTGGTTTATAAGATTCAGAGTTCAGAAATACGGTGGCTAAAGAAGAAAAGATTTTCAGTAAATACAATGCCTGCAAATGTAGCATTCTACATACAGGATTTTATGTTGTTTTTGATTACTGTATTATTTGTTCTACTAGCAAGGCAGACACCTACTTCTTCCTAAAATTTAAGATAGAGTTAGCATCTCTTAATGTGTGGGTAATTATAATATCTCCAGTAAAGTCCTTACTTTTCTTTTATCATAAGCAGATGTCCTTAACATGCCATGGAATGCCCAACGTATGGCACCAGATGCAGAACAGAACAAAGTATCTTGCTTGGCAGAACTATTTACAATCTGCCAACCATAATCAGTCCCAGTACTGCACTTCATTTATAATGTCCAATACAACTATTTGTTATGTCAGCCTTTTTTTGAACTCATGCATTATCCAAGAGCGTATCATCAAAGTTTGACAACTTTTTGCATTTGTGTAAAATAAAATGCTAGTAATTGTAAGTGTAAAGACAGCTAAACACAATTATTGATAAATTAACAGCTACATTTTGTTAGGAGGTAAAACAAGGAGTTGTCTCTGTTAAGCAAATGCTAGTCTTAATGTAATTCACCCTATCCCTTCCATCTTAAGCACTTCACTCTTAAAGTAGTTAAAGCCTGAACAGCAATTTAAAAAAAAAAAAAAGATTTTAAAAGAAATCCTTTGAGGCACACCTCAAACATTTTGCCAGAGTAACTATTATCTTACTTCCCTGATTCATCTGAGATAACACTAGAAATGCATTTAAAATATTATTTACCACAAAGAATGGTGTCCAGTATGATCTGTTCAAAAAAAGCAATAGTGGGGTTACAAACTGTCTAGACATGCTTGGTGTTTTTTTTCTCTTTATACAGTGAGTCTTTCAGAATGCTGTAAGGAACTTTTTAATTCTGCTGTTGGCATGCTTTGCTTTTTTGGCCTGGTAATATTTTTTCAGAGCTCGTGAAATTTCTTGACTACTGTAATTATCATAGATCTACTTCAGCTGGTGTGGCAGCTGGCAGAGGCAGTCTGTTATTTCATGGCTTTATCAATCACATAAATCCTATATCTGCAGCATGCCATCCATGTTTTAATCCATCTGTAGTGCTGCACAGCTCGCATGAGGTAGCAGCCAATTAAAAATGCAACGTTCTCAGTTAAAAGATGATGTGCAGTAGGGCTGAATATGACGACTAGCACCATTAGGGTTATATTGCTCTGTCAAAATAAGACCAGCTCTGATGGCACTAAAATGGCCCCTGTGCTGCTTTTTAGTTCCCTGGTGTTTAGTTACTGAAAATATTCAGCCCAAGGTGACCACCACCTCCTTAGCAGACTTGGTAGAAGCATTCCTAAGTTTGGTCATATACCTACTTTGCACAAGAGCAGCTCTTTCCTGACTGCTGTGGATTTACATGCACAAAAGCAGCAGAAATATCAGCAGCCTTTCCCCTCTTCTTGCTTATCCAATGGAAAGAAGCTGGGAGTGAAGCAACTGGGAAAGCTAGCAGACAAAAAGATACACAAATGACAACTGTATGCGCTGAGTCCCTGCTAGAGGATTGGTAACAAAATCGTTTGGCTTCACAGATTGATTCCCACTGCCACAGAACTACTTCAAAGAATAATGCTTAGGCTTTCCTTCTGAGTTTCAAGGACAGCAACAGGGGATTCTAGGAGAGCTCCATGGAAAGAAAGGAGATTCTGTGTAAAGGAAAGGTGGACAGAAGTCAGAAAGAAGTCTTGAAAAAGACCAAGAATTTTTAAGGACAAATAAAAAGATAGGAAGAACTGAGTGGATGGTACTATAGACAAAGGATACGTGAAAAAATAAAGCGGATAGGCAGGGCGGAGATGGAGGGATTGTGGAAAGGTTAAAAAAAAGTGAAAATGAAATAAAGGTAATGGAAAATAGATTGGAAGGCATATGGAATGAAAGCAAGAAGTAAAGACTGATACACGTTTACAGTCATTATATAATATTTACCTTATTCCAAAATATGGGACGGAATGGGGGAATTACTGCTTTCACTCCTACAAGGGGAAAGTAAAAACAAAACCTCTGAGTAACTTCTGTGTGATGATAAACACAAAGGCTTTCTTGGCAGGTGAGATAAATGCCTTCATTTTCCCAGGTCCATTCACTCTTGTGAATATTGCAGGTATGATTACACCCTTACATATACTCATTGCAGACTGCTGAACAGCAATTACCTCTGCTGAGCTCCCAACATCGTGCTGAGAGATGTCCATTATAAAACATTTTTCCATACTGAAAGAGGTGTTATAAATCCTAATGAGCCCCTGCAAATCTTAGAGAGAACCCCCAACCATCTCTTAACCATCACCTCTTTTCATACTGTAGATATGAGCATAGAACATTTTCTTTTAAGACTGAGAAGAATCATTAAAATCATTTTATGGATAATGATTCTCTTAAATAAGACAGGTGGCTCTAAGAAACAATCAGCATTTTTCTCTGTCAAGTTAAATCACACTAAAATTCTTAATTACTTGTCGACTTGACACTCTTCTTCTGTTAGGCCTTAGAGATTTGTTCTACTAATGGTAAAGTAAAAGCTAGCTATTTATATAAGCGATGCTGATGCTTACATAAAACAATGAAAATTGTGTACTGTCTCATCTCTCAGTAAGGTTTGTTTTTTCTTTTTAAGGAAGATCAGATATCAAGAGAAACACTGCTATTGCTGACACACCAAGGAGGGTACATCAGTCATCTAATATGACTGAACTATGTAAAAACTGATCTCATGTTGCCCAGTAGGGTATTCAGATGTACACTGAGAATCACTAGCAATAAAATAAAATACACTGAATAAAAGAATAAAACTTCCTTGAAAACAGGGAAGTACCCTGCACACAATGAGAATGCACAACAGAGGAATTAAAAAAAAGAAAAAACAATACAACAACAACAAACCACACAAACAACAACCACCTGCCAAAAGTACAATACTCACAAAGAACTAATGAACCTATAGGTTTTTTTATCCTGTTTCTTCAAATTAGAAATATGTGTGCATATATATTCAAGCAGCTGTCAAAAGCAGTAGAGACAAAATCAGTCTTAGCCAAGACCAAAATATATTTTGGACAACAAGAAAACAATATGACATAAAACTAATAGAAATCATAAAGTAAAGCAAAACAAACAATTCAATAGTAAGTACTTCTGCATTCCAATTCAGGTAAAATTTGGTGCATGTTTTTAGTTATACACTGAAGGTCAAACGACTTCAGCTGGTTTGACCCATTAAACTATTATGTTTCTGTGTGTTTCCACTCTGAGCAATAAATAGGAAGTTTACTCTAAAAGTAATGCTTCCTCTTTATTTCTATGGAAACTACAAGAGATACAAAGAGCACAACAACACTATTTGATAGAGCAAATTCTCAGCTACAAAACACTCTTTCAGCAGAACCACCACCATTAGCTGTGCATGTTTGCCAGCAATGAACAGTATTTATAAAGAAAGAAAGTATACCTTTGCTGTATGTAGGAAAACATTATCTTATATATTACTATTGTTGTAGGACATAAACAAAATCAATCATAATTAAAAGGTAAT